TCCGGTGAGCTTTTCTGGGTAGAAAGCCATTTCTACCCGAAAAAGCTCACCGGAAGCGCTGGCGCCGCCATCTTTTTTGACGAAAAAGTGCTTCCGGTGAGGTCACCGGAAAAAGATGGCAGCGCCCAGTTGATGCCGGTACCGGGCCGCGGCGCCCAGCTGATGCCGGTACCGGGCCGCGGCGTCAAAAAGGTTGGGGATCACTGATGTAGATAATGTTTGTGAAGTGTGAACACCAGAAAGCACAATGTAAGTGCTAGACATTTCCATTTTGTGTAAACCTCTTTTAAAATCTTTCCATTAGTTATTTACACCAAGACAAATTCCATGTGTGTCCAATCACACTTGGCCAATAAAGTTATTCTATTCTATTCTATTCTATTCTATTCTATTCTATTCTATTCTATTCTATTCAGCAGAGGGAGACTGTAGTTACCATGTATTTCATTTTGTTGTTTCCAATGTTAAATATGTCTAATTCTCAAATAGATGGAATTTATTTATTTATTTATTGATACCTAAGACCTAGTCTTGTGGATCTAGTATATTACATGTAACTTTTTGTGGCGCAAATCTATGAGTTTCTATCTGATGTAGCATGCTGCCAAATATTCAACTGAATAGAATAGAATAGAATAGAATAGAACAGAATAGAATAGAATAGAATAGAATAGAATAGAATAGAATAGAATAGAATAGAATAGAATAGAATATTGGCCAAGTGTGATTGGACACACAAAGAATTTGTCTTGGTGTAAATACTCTCAGTATACATAAAGAAAAGATACATTCGTTAAGAATCAAGAATCATAATGTACAACACTTAATGATAGTCATAGGGTACAATCAACAATCAAATCATACTAGGAAACAGTCAATATAAATCGTAAGGATACAAGCGACAAAGTTATGGTCCTACAATTACAAGTGGGAGGGGATGGGTGATAAGGAGTGATGAGAAAATTAACAGTAATAGTAGTGCAGACTTTATAAATAGTTGAATAGTTGAGGGAATTATTTGTTTAGCAGCATGATGGCTTTCGGGGAAAAACTGTTCTTGTATCTAGTTCTGGTGTGCAGTGCTCTATAGCGTCATTTTGAGGAAAGGAGTTGAAACAGTTTATGTCCGGGATGTGAGGGGTCTGTAAATATTTTCACAACCCTCTTTTTGACTCGTGCAATATACAGATCCTAGATTGAAGGCAGGTGGGTAGTAATTATTTTTTCTGCAGTCCTAATTATCCTCTGAAGTCTGTGTCTGTCCTGTTGGGTTGCAGAATCAAACCAGACAGTTATAGAGGTGCAGATGATAGACTCAATAATTCCTCTGTAGAACTGTATCAGCAGCTCCTTGGGCAGTTTGAGCTTCCTGAGTTGGCGCAGAAAGAACATTCTTTGTTGTGAAATATCACTATTAAATGGCCATACTTGGTACGTAGAAGATTGAGAAAATAGGAGTGTGTCCTAAAGATGATGGGAAACTATCCAATTGGAAATAAAAACCAGAATTGCCCTCTGATCACTAAAAAGATTCCAAAGAGGAAATCTCAAAAATTCCCCACTGAATTGACAGTGGATTCATATTTGAATGACAAAAGAAGAACTTTTGTGCAAACAGAAGACATGAACAATATACAAAAGCAGATTTATGAATGATATAAACAGGAAAAAGAAGATAGGTATCTTGCTTTGAAAATTCAAAAGGAAATGGACAGAGAACAAAAAACAAGCAAATTGCAAAAAAGCTCCCCTGATAAGTATCATTTGCACCCTACAACATCTAAGGTAGCTGGGAAGTACTCAGCTGTTTATAGCCTGTACATGAGTTTTTAAAAATTGTTTTCCAATTTCTTGAAAACTTTGGTAAGATATCTCAGCATTCAGAATGTTTAGAAAGGCTGCAGCAACAAAAAGATGCAGGATGAAGTACTGATGTTTACCGTTGCAATGAATTGTGCCTTCCTTTAGAAAGCTCCATCCTATTTGTGTTTTGTTCAGCTTTATAAAAATGATATTTTTTGTTGTAGCTGGGTTCAATAAATCATTCAAAAGATAATCTGAAGGATTTATCTAAAAGTGAAAGTGCAATAAGTGAATAAAATAATTATTTTTCAAACCTACATTTAATATTCTTATCTATCTTTTTGGGGTTTTCATTTTTTGAATTGTTCTTTATTGCCATTATTGCATTCTGGAGAAAAAAAATTCAATTGTCATTAGGTGCTTGTATTGATTTTCAAGCTAATATTTGTGTATATTTCTTGAAATCCTCTGGTTTTTGGTCAATTTGTCTGAAATTTTTTGGTCATTTTTTTAGAACTAAAACACTTGAAATACTTACATGTATTATGGCTCATGCCTGTTTATTTTTAATTCCTAGAATCAATATAGTTATGGATAAAAGCCATCATCTGAATTTATCAGTGATGTTCTCGGCATGAAATCATTTTACTCAGGAGGGACTGATTTTTTTGAAAAACTTGGAAGTTGCAATTGTTATCAAAAAGTTTTGCCAGTGATAATTTCACGATGTTTGAGTTGATCATTTTACAAGACAAAAGTAACTTCCAGAAATTCTTACAGTATGGAAATACATAAATCAAAACACATGAATCTTAAAGTCTAGAAGATATAATCGTATATGTCAAGTATTTAATCTGAAGTATTGTTTTAGTTCTCTTCCATAGATTGGAGAAGTTTAAATACAAGTATCGTTTTTCTGTGTTGCACAGGATAGGCGGGACGATATTCCTTTTTTAAACGGCTGTTTTCACATTCGTAGAATTCCATGCAGCTTCGAGTAAATTCTGCAATTTGCGCTCAGAGTTTTTCACTTCGCCATCAAACGGAATGACGCAGTTGAGAAGATCCCGGAGCTACACAATTAGGTTTCTTCGGTTTATATTTACTGCGTTTGCAGTAATTGCCCCATAAGGTAAAGGGGGAAATTTCTTTGGGTCAAGGGGAAGAACTTTGCAAAATTTTTGACAGGAGGCGTGAAAGAGGGCTAGAACGGAATTTCTCCGGCCACTAGAGGACAGTAATTGAAGTCTCCGGTATCATTTCGAGGAGGGCGACACACTTTCTCCTTTACGTCATTACGTTTGATATTGAAATTGAAAGCGCGCAAGAGAATTGTGGCGCGGTAAATCTGCGCCGGCGCAATAGGACTGGCAGGAGGTGAGTGTTATTGATGTGATAGAGGCGGCAAGATGGCGGCGCTCAGGGCTTCTGCTGCCGCGTCAGTGTTGAAATATTGAAGTAGTTACTCCTTATCACGGGTGAGGCGTTCGAAAACACGGGATAGGTTTAAGAGGTTTGAGTCCGGTGCAGCTAAATGGGGGAAGGGGCAAGTGGCGCGGGGTCCAAAACGTTGTCTTTGAGGGACTTGGCGGGAGATAAAGGGGAAGGGACTCCGGTAGGCCGGCGCGGGAATGGGGGAAAAGAAGCCAAGGTGGCACCGAAAAAGAAATGTAACGGAGCGAACCGAAAGAGAGAGAACTTTGAGGAGGCAATGCTTCGAAGGAATTATACGGAAATTGGCTTCGAACAAGCAAAGTCAATGAGGGAAGCCAGATTCAATTTGAACATTCTTCCCCTTCCACAAATGCCAATGTTGAAAATAAACCTTTAGTGTCATTGTAGTTGATTGTAATTCATCTGTAGTTTGTATAATAACATTTCAATATTTCATTTACCCAGTATTTGCACTTCCATCTGGAATTGATGTCTACTTTTTTTTTTTGCATTATTTGGTTTCCATAAAAATTTTCCTCTCATTTACTCCATTAAACAATATGGAACTGCATAGCACCTGCATATATTGTTAGACACAAATGCTCTCGCATCCAAAGATAAAGGTTAAAGGTTTCTCCTTTCCACTCCTGTCCAGCTTTAGGGGCTGATGCTCATGTCTGTTTTATAACTGAGGAAGCCAGCATTGTCTGAATAGCAACAGCACTTAGACTTATATACCGCCCATAGAGCCTTAGGGCACTCTCTGAGTGGTTTACAACACTGTCATCCTGGGTCCTCATTTTACTGACCTTAGGAGGATGGAAAGCTAGGTCAACCATGAGCCACAGTCAAGATAAAATTCTAGGCTGTGGGCAGAATTAACCTACAATACTGCATTCTAACTACTGTGGCTCCATGGTCATAAGTTCAGCATGACTACGCTGAAGAACACTTACCTTCCCACTAAAGTGGTACCTATTCGTCGCATGCTTTCAAACTACTAGGTTTACATCCAATCTAGAAGCATTGAAAAATTGTTTTAGTTGAGAACTGCAGAAATGAAACTGATACCGCTAGAATTCCTAACAATGCTTGCTGCTCATTAACAAAGAGGCATTTGAAATAACTGCTAGTTTATGTGCTTTCCAGTGAATATATACTGGTTTAATTTAAGAACTAATTTTTACATTTTGCATGTAATTATAGTCAGGTTGATTCTTCACTTTCCTTTTTAGAGATTCTTCAGATTTATTAAAATTAAAATGTGCAAACATATCTGGAATTGTGTCTTGTTTGTGACATAAAATGGTAAAAACTAGGTCTAGACCAGGAGTCAAACTCCAGGCCCCCGGGCTGGATCCAACCCGCAGGGTGCTTAAATCCGGCCCACAGTGCCTCTGGTTGCAAAAATGGGCCGTGTGCAGTCCCCCTGCACCTCGTTTTCACTCTCTATGGCCTCCTGCAGCACTCTGCCAGCTGAAAGTGGGCCCAAAACAGGCTGAAAATGGGCCAAAAAATGGGCCAAAAACAAGCTAAAAATGAGCCAAAAATGGGGCACATGGCCCTTTTTCGGCCTGCAGAGTGCTGCAGGAGGCCAGGGAGGATGAAAACTAGATGCAAAGGGGCCACACACGGACCTCTGTGCCCTGTTTTGGCCAGCAGTGCTGCAGGAGGCATCTGGCCTGTCCCTCTGCCAGCCTGCAGAGGGGAACTACAATGCTGATCTGGCCCTCGAAGAAATCCAGTTTGACACCCCTGGTCCAGACAGTTGAGAATTTTTTCTTTTTGTGTAATCACAAGAATAATTTCCATTGCATGGTTTCAATATAGGTATGAAGAACAGACCTTCCTCTTGCCCGAGTAATACTGATGTTTTCAAGCTATTATGTACTTGTTGTCTTCATAGAGATGAAAGCACCTATTCCTCAAAAGCAAGAAATTGTGGTAGAACCCGGACCCTTATTTGGTGGTAAGGTTTTTTTTATGTAAACACATTTAAACACAAATGTAAACACATTTCCATTCACTTTGCCATTCATTCATCCATTGTGGGAATCTATAGAGCTTCTTTCATCTGTGCTTACAAAACTCCTGTTAGTATGTTGATACAAAATGTAGACAGCACACTTTTAAGTACTTGAAATTCAGATCAACTTGGGCCGATCCTTCCCCCTGATCTGGCTTCTTGCTTAATTTGATGTTCATTTCAAAACTCTACAATAAATATTGAGTCCAGGATTTTTTTAAAAAATCCTCCCATATTGACCTTGTCAGTAATGGTGTTTGCAATCCTTGCTTAATGTTCCACTAACAAGAGAGGCACAAGTGCACAACTTCTGCCTGTGAAATGAGCCTTCGTTTGGGGATGTGCCAGCTGGAGAGCTTTCCCATATTTTTGCTCTGAGAAGAAAGTAGAATGCACTAATGCTAGTGGTCGTTTCCTCTTGTTCCCTCAGTTACATGATGAGGCTTTTAATCTAAATGTTCTGCATGCCACCATATTTATCTGCCCTTGTACCTCTTAAGCAAATGTTGAACTAGGAAATCAGACACGTATAACATGAGCTTCAAGTTAGAGACAAGCAGAATGTATGAAAATTAGTCATGAATCACAGTTTCTGTCTAAAAAATTAATTCCACCCACATAACAGTTCATTTTCTGAAAATATTTTCAATTAGCATCAGATGACTTTAGTTCAATTTAGAATAGTCTGTACTTGCAAAACTGCTTTTAATTAGGCTATAAGGAAATAATCAGGTAACTGTCTTTTTCTTTAAAAAAAGTAGTTGATACAATTGAATTACATAATTGTGAAGCAATATCTTATAACTTCTGTAATTTTAAGTATCCAGAAATACCTCAGGGGAATAGGAAGTTGCATTGGGAAACAATGTATTTGCCTAATTTAGTACTGCCTAATAATTAATATGTGAGGACATTCCTTACTCATAATTCATACATTTGTTTTTATGCTTTTACTATAGAATAGTATTGTACTATACTTTTAGTAATAAAGTTTAGGTATCGGATAACATTCATAGATTGTATGAAAAATGATCTAACGTACACAATTTTAATGCTACCTTTTTACTGATCTTAAACAAATAATGTACTACATATTTTTGTAGATGCTGATGATGTAGTAACAGAATAATTTTCCTTCCTGGACTGAACATGCCGAAAGAATCAGAGACCCCATTTTCCTTGTCTGACTGCCATTGTAATATTTGCATGGATATTTTTGTGGAACCAGTCACACTACCATGCCACCATACTCTTTGTAATGCCTGTTTTCAACTTACTGTGGAAAAAGCAAGTTTGTGTTGCCCTTTTTGTCGTCGGCGTGTCTCATCTTGGGCACGATATAACACTCGCAATAACACTCTTATTAACTTGGAATTATGGGAAAAAATTAAGAAACATTTTCCAGAAGAGTGCCAACGCAGACTTAGTGGACAGGACCTAGAAAATCATTGTAAGTAAAACATTGCACTAGCTTGGTTCACATATAGGCCTGCCTTTGGTGTTCATAAGTTTATTGTAAATTTTTAAAGGAAAAAAGCAAGAAAATTTGATACTTAATAATTCACTTGGTGGTCTCCTTTAACTTTAAGAATATAACTGATAAGAGAGTGATACATTTCTAAGGTCATAGATTACTCTTCTTTGTGGAGTATGGGCAAATAGATTAGTGCAGTATAGGTTTTTAGATTTGTTGAATTATTGGTTAAACTAAAATAATTTAGTGATACAAATATAAGTCACCATTGTTAAAGGTCAAATCTTTTTGTTTTTCCTGGATAAATGTCCAGTGAAGCTTTATTTTTATTTTTTTAATATACTGTATATATTAGGCGTACTAAATTGCAAAGAACCCAGGTTGATTGAAAAGGATTGTATTTAAGTGCATGGTTATATGCATGGTGCATATATATATTATGTTAAATTGCAACTTGTATTCTTAATTGGATCATAATAACCATATTTTGTCTCGTCTCTGCTTTGTTTTCTGGTCTAGTGCATATGCCTCAACCAATACACTGCTTAAGTAAGCCTGGAGAATTAAAGAAAGAATATGAAGCTGAGATCACTAAGGTAAAGTAGAAAGTTGAATGGCAGTTTTGCATAATAGGCAGTTTTGCAAGGGATCATAAAATCCTGAGTAAGACCAGGATTGAGATTGTTTTTGGGCACTAAATGCTTACTCACTAAGCCAAGCCAAAATATAGAAGTATTGAAATAAAAAAATGAAAATGTCAATCTATAAAATAAAAGAACGTTAAAAATAATGATATTTTTTTAAAATAAAAGTTTTATTTAAGTTTTCACAAAACATACAAATACAAATAAAATATCTTTTTTTGAGAACAACATGACCCCGGGTTATCACTTCTCCATACAGACATAAACTCAATCTTATCTTATCTTAAACTTATCTTATACATTCTAATCCATATCTTATAACTATTTTCGCAATTTTTTCAATAGCTTTCCCCTTTCTTTACTTCCTATAGCCTTATTTTAAATTGTCTCATTCCTTTCTTAATTCAATTGTATATCTTTTTCTAATTTTTAAAATCTTTCTAAACAATGTTTGTATACTTTCGTCTGTTCTGTTTAAAATTTCATATTATCTTTTCTCATAAAACAAATTTTCCCCTGTAATTGCTAGACTGAAAAAGATACCTTTGTATCTTTTTTCAAATCTTGTTTAAAAATTTAATAATGATAAATTATTAATGATAAATAATGATAAATTTTGGGGTTAGGTGGAAGCAGAACGGCGTGCTCTTGAGCAAGAAGAGAGCAAAGCAAGTGAAGAATATATTCAAAGACTACTTGCAGAAGAGAAAGAAGAGCAAAGGTTAACAGAAGAAAAGAAAAAAAAGATAGCAGACCAGTTGCTATTAGATGAAATGTTGGCCCAAGAACTGAGTTTAAATTTGGTAAGTTTAACCAAAATGACAGCTAAATAGGCTTAGTTAAATCTTCCTGTTTTCTTAAATGGCATTTTGAATATTAGCATTGAAAGAGTACTTAATCGGAAGCTTTTTCGTTTTTCTTCTGTAATCAAGATAGATGTAAAAAATGCTATCAGATTGTTAAAAGATTTACTTTTTTACTATCTGTAGCAGATTATCAATTAGATTTCTATCCTGCCTTTCATTTAGGAGTGTACATTGACATATAAGGCACTCCCCCCATTTTTTTTCCCTACAGCAGCAATTTTGGGAACTTGGAAAGGGTGAATGCTCCAGATTTACCCACTGAGGATCTGTACTGAAGGTGGATTAGAACCTGAGTCTCCCTGGTGCCAATACAATGCCTGACCATTACTGTTCACTGAGAACAGGGTGTATAAAAAAAAATCAGGCCACATAAACAATTTATTATATAAAATTACACTGAACATTTGAATTTTTTGTAATTTTCTTCTAAACATTTCCTTGTTTGACACATGACTATTTTCTCTGATGCTTCAAATTCTAACACAAAGGTCTCCTTTAGATCATGTCTTGACCTATGGAGTCTGGCTTTTGGTACGCCAAGTGTGTGTGTTGTGTATCTTAAAATTTTAGTTAACTTCTTAAATAACTAGCATATAATCCTAGCTGTTGAGCCTGAATACATATGTATAAGGGGGATGGGAGTTATTTTTTATTTTGTTTTTTTGTTTTGTTTTTCCCCCCAAATTTTGTTCTATTATACTTTACTAATTTATTTGATTCTTTTATGTTCATTTTTTTATTTTTTGCTTTAAATATGGTTTTACATTGTGTAAGCCACCTCGAGTCGCCATGGGCAAATAGGTGACAATATAAATTGAATGAATGAATGAATAAATGAATAAATAAATTTCTTAAAATGTAGGATGAATTGTGCACATCACCACTGGAGTATTTGTGTGTGTGTTTGTGTGATAAAGCAGCTTAATATGGTGTTAACATCAGCTGGTGACTTTGGGCCAGTCCCATTCTCAGTCCCATTCTATTTCACAGGCTTGTTGTGGGAAAAATTGATAGAAGTATCAGGTATGTTCACTGCCTTGGATTATATATTAAAAGTTCAGGAAAATAATAATAAATAACAATAGGCATACCATATTTTTCGGTGTATAAGACACACTTCCCTTCCCAAAAAAGTGGATGGAAATGTCTGTGCGTATTATACAGCAAATGTTGCCGAAGCCACGCCCACCCTTTGGCTCCCCTCTGCTTTCCAGCAATTTGCCTCCTTGCAGCAAACAGCCAATCAGCTTCAGCACAGCCTGATTAGGACAAGCAGCTGATTGTTGGATCTGTCTCCCAAGGATCAGCTGTTTCAGGCTGCAGGGATTCCAGAGCCTATTGCTGCCTCCGTGCGCCCCATTTTTGGCCTCTGCATCCCATTTTCAGCCTCTGTTTTTGGCCCATTCCAGGCGGCAGGGATCAGAACTGGCAGAAAACGGGACACGCAGAGGTTGTAATGGGATGTGGAGGCCAAAAATGAGGGGCGCGGAGGCGGAAATAGGCAATGGCGATCCCTGCAGCCTGAAACAGCTGGTCGACGGGAGACAGATCCAACTGACAATCAGCTGCTGGTGCTTAATCAGACTTTGCTGAAGCTGACGAGGCTGTTTGCTGCAAGGAGACAAATTGCCGGGAGGCAGGGGCAAAAATTTTTTTTCTTGTTTTCCTTCCCAAAAGTTAGGTGCGTCTTATACTTCAGAGTATCTTATAGTCCAAAAATACAGTCCTTTTTATCTGTATTTTTTTTTTTTTGGCACTGAAGAACAGATCTGTTGAAGAGTCTGTTAAAAGGAGTCCGGTACCTGGCCCGTCCCCTTCTGATTGCTGCAAAACATCGAAAACCAAATCAAGCAATTATGGTGATATTAAGAAGTAAGTAAAATTCGGTTACATAGTCAAAGTTAGATTAGTACAGTATATGCAGATTTGTATCGTATAAATAGAGAAATTTGTCATAATAAGAGTTTATAGATATTTTATTTTTACAACTGATATTTCATTTTTTTGAAAAAAAAATTCAAAAAAGTTTCAGAAAGATGCATTAATTTTGGCAGGCAGCAAATTCTCTCATTTCAATACATACTTTAAAAAATTCTAAAAAACACCTTGGATTATGAGGTAATATAGTATAAAATATATTCTGGATATCCCAGAGGTGCTTTTTGAAAAGGCAACTGGACTTTGTTTTTCTTAGAAAAACAAAGTTCAGTTGCCTATTCAAAAAGCATCTTTGGGACAACAATGACCTGGATGACAGAATTTCCATAGATGTTCTGGATATCCATATAATTAAGTCCTAATAAAACTTCATTTGGGAAGATAGAACCTAATTTACTAGGCAAATCATGTTCATAAAGCAAAGAGCTATTCAATTATCATAGTTTACATTATTAATTACCGTTCAAGTTTAGATATAACATTACACTGTGATTACAGAAACCAGAGCTGCTGGTTTTATTGCAGCTCTGCTGGAAGAGAAAGGGAAAGAGTTGCTAAGAGTTGTTTGTGTAACATTAAATCATAATTTAGGACTGCAGTGATTGTTGAGTTGTCTAATTTTATCTAATTGTCTAATTTTAACTCTTAGCAACAAATTTAATTTTAACTCTTGAGGTGGGTTCTGAGCCTAAGACAGGACCAATAGGCCTTCCCACTACTAGTTCTATGCTTTAATCACTAGGTCAAATTGTCTTTCACTTTTAAATTAGCCATTTTATTGATTGATTTGTTGAGAAAAACAAGATATCAATTAAACAAATAATAATTAGACAGTTGAGCTTTAATACCTTATGAAACAGTATTGTGCTAGAACCTGTTTATAAACATTGCAACTACCGGTATATGTTTTGCTTTATAAAGTCTGAATTAGTGCTACTGAAGGATGAGAAGCAAAATGTTTAGAATAACCTGAGGATAACAACTTCTCATTTATTTAAGAGATGTACCCTGATCCATTCCATAATATGCTCTCATAATAGGCTTTAAACATCACCACCTTGAACTCACTTTATTTGTGAGTTATTTGTGAAA